CTTGGAGAAAGGGACGGACTGACAACTCATGGGGCCCCCGGGCAATAGGGGATCATGGGGCCCCTATGTCCTTGCCCAAACTCAAAAAGCCTATGAAAAAGGTACCAGGGGCATCTCATGGGGCCCCCTACTGACCCTGGGCCCTCGGGCAGTGACCGAGTTCCCAAATGGTCAGTCCGCCCCTGCTTGGAGAGGAAATTTGTGCTTGGGGTGTGTGCTAAGGGCCCCTGCACTCTTTGTATTATCTATCCCTGTTCTCTGCACTCTTTGATGAATGTACTCCTGACCCTTGTTCTGTGCATTACAGAACCCCACACCTATTCTTGATGTGTGCTACAGGCCTTTTCACACTGTGCTTTATGTTCTTATGACCCCTGCACCCTGTGTGTTAGGTACCCCTGATCCCTGCACTCTGTGCATTGCATACTTCTTACTCCTACAGTGTATTATTCTTCTGACTCCTGCTTTACACACACCTGACCCCTGTAGCCTGAGCATTACACACTTCTGACCTGTGCAGTCTGTGAGATACATACTCCTGACCCCTGCAGTCTGTGAATTACACATATCTGACCAGTGCACACTGTGCATGTATTACATACTGCTAACCCATGTACTCACTACATTACACATACCTTACCTCTGCAATCTGTGTGTTACATACATCAATCCCTGCATTCTATCTGTTACACAATCTTGACTCCTGTTGTCTGTGTGTCAAAGACTTCTGCACTATAGGCACTGTGTTGTACAATACATACTCCTGACCAATGCACTCTCTATATTATATTGTACATACTCCTGACCAGAGTGTTAATTATCTCAACAATTACTGGTGTAGAAGGAGCCGCTTGGTAATTTCGGGTTCTCTGTTCTAAGCTTCAACTCCAAGAACAACCCCAGCCCCTCTGGCATACCTGATTGAAAAAAAATCCCTGCAAGCACAAGTAAAGTCAGGAGTGTTAAATACCTTTCGCCTGGCTGGGGGTTATTACCAGTAAGTAAACACATACCCGTTGAGTGGTAAACACACTTAATCTAACGATATGGATTAGTATAAATGGCAGTTTGAACAGTAGGTAAATTAAGTAGGTAAATTAGGATACAATCTACTAGACAGAGTAATAACTATGCCCAAGAGAAAGAAAAATCATCAGGTTCTATACCACTAGCCAACATCCCAGCAAATGAAAACACAATTTTAGCAACAGTGGATATTGAGTCCCTATATACTAATATTAAACAGATTGATGGGTTGAAAGCTGTTGAATGGGCTTTAAAAACATTATCTAACTTGAAAACCCCCCAAATAAAACAAATCCTTGAAGGTTTCGAGAATAATTATTTTTGGTATAAATGTGAATGTTATAATCAAACTAAAGGTGTGGTCATTGGCGTGGCTAACATTTTTTAATACGTGGGAGGAGGAGATTTTTCTAAAACATGTCCCCAGTCAGTTGCTGACTGCCTCCATTACCAACTTGAACCTAGAATTCTAACCAAGATTCTGTTTGCTGACCATGTACCGTACTACCTGCATGTTGCTGACCTCTGCCTGTTCACGAATTTGATTTATCTCACTATCTGGTGCTTCACTGCTTGTCTGTCTGTTATGCCACTGCCTGTATCTGAACTTGTTGCATTTTAAATTCATCACCAGTTGTACTCTTGCACATCTGATACCAGTGCTTCTGCATTTTAGTCACTACTTATGCCCTTCCAAGGGTGCATGGATGGAAGAGGCCAGCCTTTTAGCTCATGCTTCTCCATAACACCATGTATTAAAAAATGCTATGTGCCATGTACTGAACCAGTTGCATTAAACTTGACAGCCTCTCTTTTATAAATGCATCAGGGGGGCATGATTATATTATGATTATTTTTATTTTTGTCCACTCAGAAGTACTGTATACAATATACCAGCTGGGATTTATGATTGATGATATGTGTATGTTATGCAAGTTCTACATGATGTATAAATAAAACACATAAACCAACTAATTTGACATTGTTTACAGTTTACCACTAATGAATAGAATTACATGGCATATTTCCAGTCACTTTTGAAATGGAAGTCTTCCAAACTTCTGAAAGGGCAAAAATAAAATTTTAATTTCATTCATGTTTGTACTCATTAGAAGTGATTGTACAAAAAAAATGTGTATATATATATATATATATATATATATATATATATACAGGTGAAACTCGAAAAAATTAGAATATTGTGCAAAAGTTAATTTATTTCAGTAATGCAACTTAAAAGGAGAAACTAATATATGAGATAGACTCATTACATGCAAAGCAAGATAGTTCAAGCTGTGATTTGTCATAATTGCGATGATTATGGCTTACAGCTCATGAAAACCTCAAATCCACAATCTCAGAAAATTTGAATATAACATGCAATCAATAAAACAAAGATTGTACATAGAACAATATTGGACCTCTGAAAAGTATAAGCATGCATATGTACTCAGTACTTGGTTTGGGCCTCTTTTGCAGCAATTACTGCCTCAATGCGGCGTGGCATGGAAACTATCAGCCTGTGGCACTGCTGAGGTGTTATGGAAGACCAGGATGCTTCAATAGCGGCCTTCAGCTCTTCTGCATTGTTCGGTCTCATGTCTCTCATCTTTCTCTTGGCAATGCCCCATAGATTCTCTATGGGGTTCAGGTCAGGCGAGTTTGCTGGCCAATCAAGCACAGTAATCCCACGGTCATTGAACCAGGTTTTGGTGCTTTTGGCAGTGTGGGCAGGTGCCAAATCCTGCTGCAAAATGAAGTCAGCATCCCCATAAAGCTCGTCTGTGGAAGGAAGCATGAAGTGCTCCAAAATCTCCTGGTAGACGGCTGCGTTGACCCTGGACTTAATGAAGCACAGTGGACCAACACCAGCAGATGACATGGCTCCCCAAATCAACAAAGACTGTGAAAACTTCACACTGGACTTCAAGCATCTTGCAGTGTGTGCTACTCCATTCTTCCTCCATACTCTGATTCCTTGGTTTCCAAATGAGATGCAAAAGTTGCTCTCATCAGAAAAGAGGACTTTGGACCACTGAGCAACAGACCAGGTCTGTTTTTCTTTAGACCAGGTAAGACGCTTCTGACGTTGTTTGTTGTTCAGGAGCGGCTTGACAAGAGGAATACGACATTTGAAGCCCATGTTCAGGATCCGTCTGTGTGTGGTGGGTCTTGATGCACTGACTCCAGCCTCAGTCCACTCTTTGTGAAATTCCCCAACACTTTTGAATGGCCTTTTCCTGACAATCCTCTCCAGACTGCGGTCATCCCTGCTGCTTGTGCACCTTTTTCTTCCACACTTTTCCCTTCCACATAACTTTCTATTAATGTGCTTTGATACAGCACTTTGGGAACATCCAACTTCTTTTGCAATTACCTTTTGAGGCTTTTCCTCTGTCAGGGGCCACCGCGGAATGTGGCTCGGCACAGGCACAGTGTGGCGGCTCGTGCTGGTGAATAGGCACTAGGTCCTGGCCGGCCGCGGCAGAGATGGAACTCGCACATGTGCATACGGGGCCGTGGGTGTGCGCCTGGCACCAATGCTCCTGTATATCTTGCTATTTGATCATTGCTGACCCGGATTGTCCCTGACTGTGCTGTATTCTACTGCTCTGACCCCTAGCTTGCCTGACTTCTCTCTTGGATGCCCCCCATTGGATCTGATCTTCTGTTACTGACCCGGCGTGTGACCCGACTGTTCTCTGCCCACTGCCTTGTACCGCGCTGCTCCCACGGTTACCGACTCGGCCTGTCTGACCACGCTTCTGCTCATCCATCCATCCGTCCTGCTTGGGCCCATCTGCCTCTTCACATCAAGCTCTCATCTTGCAGATACCTCTGGCGGTCCCCTCTACCACAGGTGGGTGTACTCAGGGGCCGCGACCTGGTCTCGGTCTGCTCCAAGTCCATCCCCACCATCAGGGGCCCTGGTAAACAAGCAGACTGGGACTCAGACTCCGCGCTCTGGGGAATCCTATCCTGTGCGTTGCTAGAGGTCCCGCCAGGTGGTTCATTACACCCTCCATATGGAGGGTGTCAATGATGGTTTTCTGCACAACTGTCAGGTCAGCAGTCTTTTCCATGATTGTGATTCCTACTGAACCAGACTGAGAGACCATTTAAAGGCTCAGGAACCCTTTTCAGGTGTTATGGCTTAATTAGCTGATTAGAGTGGGACACTTTGAGCCTAGAATATTGCACCTTTTCACAATATTCTAATTTTCTGAGATTGTGGATTTGAGGTTTTCATGAGCTGTAAGCCATAATCATTACAATTATGAACTATCTTGCTTTGCATGTAATGAGTCTATCTCATATATTAGTTTCACCTTTTAAGTTGCATTACTGAAATAAATGAACTTTTGCACGATATTCTAATTTTTTGAGTTTCACCTGTGTGTGTATATATATATATATGTATATATACACAATATATACACCATATTGCCAAAAGTAATGGTACGCTTGCCTTTACAAGCACAAGAATTTTAATGGCATCCCAGTCTTAGTCCGTAGGGTTCATTATTGAGTTGGCCCACCCTTTGCAGCTATAACAGCTTCAACTCTCCTGGGAAGGCTGTCCACAAAGTTTAGGAATGTGTCTATGGGAATGTTTGACCATTCTTCCAGAAGCGCATTTGTGGGGTCAGACACTGATGTCGGACGAGAAGGCCTGGCTCGCAGTTTCTGCTCTAATTCATCTCAAAGGTGTTGTATTGGGTTGAGGTCAGGACTCTGTGCAGGCCAGTCAAGTTCCTCCACCCCAAACTCGCTCATCCATGTCTTTATGGACCTTGCTTTGTACACTGGTGCTCAATCATGTTGGAACAGGAAGGGGCCATTCTCAAACTGTTCCCACAAACTTGGGAGCATGAAATTGTCCAAGATGTCTTGGTATGCTGACGCCTTAGGATTTCCCTTCACTGGAACTAAAGCCCTGAAAAACAACCCCACACCATAATCCCCCCTCCACCAAACGTGGCACAATGAAGTCAGGCAAGTACCATTTTCCTGGCAACCGCCAAACCCAGACACGTCCATCAGATTGCCAGACAGAGAAGCATGATTGGTTACTCCAGAGAACACATCTCCACTGCTCTAGAGTCCAGTGGCAGTGTGCTTTACACCACTGCATCCAATGCTTTGCATTGCACTTGATGCAAGGTTTGAATGCAGCTGCTCAGTCATGGAAACCCATTCCATGAAGCTCTCTATGCACTGTTGTGCTAATATGAAGGCCACATGAAGTTTGGAGGTCTTTAGCTATTGACTCTGCAGACAGTTGGTGACGTCTGCGCACTGTGCGCTTCAGCATGCAAAGACCCCCCACTGTCATTTTACGTGGCCTGCCACTTCGTGGCTGATATTTAGTAGCAAGGAAATTTCATGGATGGACTTATTGCACAGGTGGCAACCTATCACAGTACCATGCTTTAATTCACTGAGCTCCTGAGTGACCCATTCTTTCACAAGTGTTTGTAGAAGCAGTCTGCATGCCTAGGTGCTTGATTTGATACATCTGTGGCCATGGAGGTGTTCGGAACATCTGAATCCAATGATATGGAGGGGTGTCCCAATACTAATAGTATATTATTATTATTATTATTATTACATCGAGTTTATATAGCGCCAAAGGGTTTGCTCAGCGCTGTACAATAGGGGGGACAATACATGGCACAGTACCACAAAAACAGACAGCGTACGAGGGGTAAGAGGGCCCTACTCTTTCAAGCTTACAATCTAGGAGGGAGGTGGTAGTGGAACAATAGGAAGTGGCTGAGGGGAATGAAGTGGCTGAGGGGGATGAAGTGGTGGGAGGAATGAGGGAGAATGGCCGTTAGGTGAGGGTGGGGTAGGTTTCCCTGAAGAGATGGGTTTTGAGGGAGCGCCTGAATGTGGGGAGTGAAGGCAACAGTCGGATGGATTGGGGCAGTGAGTTCCAGAGGATAGGGGAGGACCTGGAGAAGTCCTGCAGTCGTGCATGGGAGGAGGAGACCAGGGAGCAGGATAGAAGGAGGTCCTGTGAGGAGCGAAGGGTTAAGGGTAGGGTGGTACTTGGGGATCAGGTTGGTGAGGTAGTCAGGGGCAGTGTTATGAACGGCTTTGTAGGTCAAGATTAGAAGTTTAAATTTGATGCGTTGGGCAATCGGGAGCCAGTGGAGGGAGAGGCAGAGGGGGGTGGCAGAGGTGGAGCGGGTGGTGAGGTGGATGAGTCTAGCCGCTGAGTTCAGGATGGTCTGGAGCGGGGAGAGCCTGCACTTGGGTAGGCCAGTGAGAAGAGAGTTGCAATAGTCAAGGCGTGAGATGATGAGGGAGTGTACAAGAAGTTTGGTGGTGTCTGGGGTGAGGAAGGCACGTATCTTGGCAATATTGCGGAGATGGAGCCTGCAGGTGTTTGTAAGTGATTTGACATGAGGCAGGAAGGAGAGGTTCGAGTCAAGAATGACGCCAAGGACTTTGGCTTGTGGGGCGGGAATGATAGTGGTGTTGGTGATGGTGATGGATAGGATGGGGGGGGGGGTGTGGGCAGGGGGGGAAAGACGAGAAGCTCGGTTTTGGAGAGGTTAAGCTTGAGGAAATGGAGCGACATCCAGTCTGAGATGTCGTTTAGGAGGTGAGTGATGCGGGCGGAGATAGTGGGGGTGAGGAGAGGGGTGGAGAGGTAAGTTTGGGTGTCGTCAGCATAGAGGTGATAATTGAAGCCATGGGAGTGTATGAGTGTGCCCAGGGAGGATGTGTAGATGGAGAAGAGAAGGGGTCCAAGGACAGAGCCTTGAGGGACCCCAACAGAGAGGGGGGGAGGGAGGGGGAGGTGGCGCCATTGTAGGTGACGCTGAAGGAGCGTCGGGATAGGTAGGATGAGAACCAGGAGAGAGCGGTATCTCTGATGCCAAGGGAGAGTAGTTTATTAAGGAGGAGGGGGGTGGTCGACTGTGTTGAAGGCCGCAGAGAGGTCCAGGAGAAGGAGGACAGAGTAGTCGCCCTTCGCTTTGGCATTTAGTAGGTCGTTAGTGATTTTGAGGAGGGCAGTTTCGGTGGAGTGTAGGGGACGGAAGCCGGACTGTAATGGGTCAAGGAGGTTATTGTCAATAAGGTGGGCGCTTAGGCGATCGTAGACTATGCGCTCAAGGAGCTTGGAGGTGAGTGGCAGCAGGGAGATGGGTCTGAGGTTGTTGGGGTCCGCGGGATCCAGGGAGGGCTTTTTGAGGATGGGGGTGATATGTGCGTGCTTTAGGGGGGAGGGGAATGCGCCAGTAGAAAGGGAGAGATTGCAGATGTGGGTGAGGGAGCGGATGAGGGAAGAGGGGGGTTACCGGAGGAGTTGAGAGGGGATAGGGTCCAGGGGGCAGGTAGTGAGGCGGGCTTCTGAGAGGACCTTGACGACTTCCTCAGTAGTGACAGGGCTGAGGGAGTGCAGTGCAGGGGGGGTTACGGTGGGCGGGACCTTGGGAGAGGTGGAGGGCAGTGCGGTTGTGAGGGCAGAGGAGGGGGGAGAAGAAGGGGTGACGGGGTGGGGAGGCTAGGTGGGAAAGTAGATTGCGAGTTGACAATGTCCTTACGGATATTGTCAATCTTGTTACGGAAATGGGTGGCAATCTCATGGGCGGTGAGTGAGGTACTGAGTGGAGGAGGGGGGGGGGGGAGCAGGAGCAGGGAGTTGAAGGTGGAGAAGAGTCGGCGAGGGCAGGAGGAGAGGGTGTTAATTAGGTTAACAAAGTAGGCCTGCTTGGCGGCGTGGAGGTGTAAGTGAGGAAGGCAGATTTGTAGAGGGAGAATGCGTGAGGGGACCTGGTTTTGCGCCACAATCTCTCCAGTGAGCGACTGCGACGTTTGAGGCGTTTATTGCTGTCATTCTGCCAGGGTTGAAGCGGCCTAGGTTTGAAGATGCGTGTGGTTAGGGGTGCTAGAGAGTCTAGGGCAGCTGACAGTGAGTCGTTGTACAAGGTGGTGGCTATGTCAGGACATGACAGTGCGAGGATGCTGTCGTGTAGGCGGTCGTCGCGGCTGAGTGGAAGGGGGCCGGGTTCAGGTTGCGCAGATTGCGGCTGGTGATGGTTTGGCGTTTTTGGGGGGGGTTGGGGGAAGGGGAGATGGAAAATGTGATGAGGTGGTGGTCAGAGAGAGGGAAGGAGGTGTTAGAGAACTGGTTGAGGGTACAGAGGTGGGAGAAGACGAGGTCCAGGGTGTTCCCTCCGATGTGGGTGGAGGATTGCGTGTGCTGTGTGAGCGCGAAGGAGGAGGAGGTTAGGTGGAGGAATTGGGAAGTGGCCGGGTTGTTGTCGTTGATGGGGATAGTGAAGTCCCCGAGGATGATGGTCGGTAGCTCAGAGGAGAGGAAGAAGGGGAGCCAGGCGGCGAAGTTGTCCAGGAAGTGGGGTATGGACCCAGGAGGTCTGTAGATCACTGTGATCCTTAGGGGGGTGGGTGAGAAGAGTCGGATGCAATGCGCCTCAAAGGAGGGGAAGGATAGAGAGGGTGGGTTTAGGGAGGACCTGGAAGGTGCTCAGCGGTGAAAGGAGCAAGCCGACACCGCCACCTCTGCGTATATACAAACAGTATATATATATATATATATATATATATATATATATATATATATATGCACAGGCAGTCCACCTCCTCCAGGATGGCACATAAATACGTGCCATTGCCAGAAGGTTTGCTGTGTCTTCCTGCACAGTCTCAAGAGCATGGAGGAGATTCCAGGAGACAGGCAGTTACTCTAGGAGAGCTGGACAGGGTCGTAGAAGGTTCTTAACCCATGAGCAGGACCAGAATCTGCTCCTTTGTACAATGAGGAACAGGATGAGCACTGCCAGAGCCCTACAAAATGACCTCCAGCAGGCCACTGGTGTGAATGTCTTTGACCAAACAATCAAAAACAGACTTCATTAGGGTGACCTGAGGGCCTAACGTCCTCTAGTGGGCCCTGTGCTCACTGCCCAGCACCATAGAGCTCGATTGGCATTTGCCAGAATTGGCATGTCTGCCACTGGCACCCTTTGCTTTTCACAGATGAGAGTAGGTTCACCCTGAGCACATGTGACAGACGTGAAAGGGTCTGGAGAAGCTGTGAAGAATGTTATGCTGCCTGTAACATTGTACATGACCATTTTGGTGGTGGGTCAGTGATGGTCTGGGGAGGCATATCCATGGAGGGACGCACAGACCTCTACAGGCTAGACAATGGCACCCTGACTGCCATTATGTATTGGGATGAAATCCTTGGACCCATTGTCAGACCCTACACTGGTGCAGTGGGTCCTGGGTTCCTCCTGGTGCACGACAATGCTGGCCTCATGTGGTGAAAGTATGCAGGCAGTTCCTGGGGGATGAAGGAATTGATACCATTGAATGGCCCCAACGCTCGCCTGAGCTAAATCCAATAGAGCACCTCTGGGATATCATGTCTCGATCCATCCGATGCTGCCAGGTTGCACCTCGTGGCACGTGGGGTCCATACAAACTACAGAGTACCATTTTGAGCTGCTGCAATGAAATTTCAGCAAAATGGACTAGCCTGCTGCATCATTTTTTCACTTTGATTTTCGGGGTGTCTTTGAATTCAGTCCTCTGTAGGTTGATCAATTTCATTTCCATCAAATGATGGGGCATCCTTATGTTCCTAACCTATTATGCAGTCCATATAAGTATAGATATCCAGCATTATATTTTTCCCCACTGAGATCTGATGTGTTTTCAAAGTGTTCCTTTAATGTTTTTCAGCAGTGTATTAAAATTTGTTTGATGATATGAATTATTTAAGTGTGACAAATATGCACAAAATCAGGAAGGGGAAAATATTTTTTAACAGTACTGTAAGTGTTTAGGTATAGAAAGCATTAAGGAGAAAATGCTTAGATTTTAGAACCAGTTAAATGTTTAACTGCTATGTAGCCTATAGTCATTTTTTATATAAAATTTGCATTATGCACACCAGCCTTAAAGCAAGCCCATAGTGGGGGTATAAAAGTTAAAACCTTTACAACTGAATTTAATTTCCCATTTAACTGCTAATATTGCCATTTTGGTGTTTCTGTCACTGTTTTTCTGAGTTTTAATAAGGCTACAAAAGCAGAGGTGGCAACATTGCTTTATATTTCTACCATATCATTAACAAATAGATTGGAGAAACTGGGCAATCATGTAGCAGCAAATGTCACAAGATAATGATCAATAGTCAAAATACCTGTGACAATCAGATGAAGAGTTAGTGTATTGCACAATATTTCAAAAGTTTACATTTTCATAGCCTGCTTTTACAGACTCTATTATCTGAGATATCAGGAGTTACAACAGAATGTTCTCTGTGTGAGAGAATTCCTGAATAACTGAATAACTACTAATTAGTGCATAATCAGTCCCATGTAACAGCGTTTAGCAAAATAATCCATAGTTAATCCCTCGTTCTCTTTTTGTTTCCTACATTTATGTTAGATTTATTTTTTTTATTTTTACTTTAAATTGTGCAGAGAAAAATAGCAAACTTTTCCACCAAAA